CCTCCCCCTCTAAAAAAACCACCTCATAGACAGAAAACAATTTGGTGATTACCAGAGGGAAAGGGGCATGGGGCAGATAGAAGAGGGTAATTGGGGGATAAATGGTGTTGGAAGGAGATTTGGCTTGGGCTGGTGAATACACAGTACAATGTACAGATAATGTATGATAGAATTGTACACCTAAAACCTATTTAATTTTATTAACCAATGTCATTGCAGTAAATTTAATAATGAAGACATAAATATTCTGTAACTTGTATGGTGATGGATGTTAATATGAGGTCTGTCCAAAAAAGTATCTAGTTATGTAATATGAAAAATACAGACATTTATTGAAGAATATACAAGCAACATTGTGCATAAGACAATGACACTTTCAAAGTAGGCACTTTGGTACCTTACACAGTTCTCCCAAGAGACATCAGCTGCCTCATTCATCATATTTTCCTGAATTTCATTGATGGTCTGAAATCTCTTCCCTTTCAAAGGTGATTTTAGTTTTGGAAAAAGCCGGAAGTCGCAGTGTGCCAAATCTGTGCTGTAGAGGGGCTGAGTCACCTGGGTGATTTGGTGTTTCCTCAAAAACCTTTGAACCAGATGGGATGTGTGAGTGACCATGTTGTGCTGAAGTTGCCAATCACCAGCTGGCCATTGCTGTGGCCTTCTGAATCATCCAAATAGTTTCCCATGGAGGAAAGCTCAAGCCTAATGCAAAACTTGATACAGATTTGTTTGCTCTACTCACTCAGTCATTTTGAGTGCGATGGCCATATGTACTACAGTACATATGTTCACTCAACTGCATCTACTGCCTCCACTGACTAGTACAGTGAAGTCCATTGTTAATGCATGCACATTCTAGTCCAATTTTCTTGGCTGCCAGGTTACATCAATGTCGTGCAAACTGTTCTCATTAGATTAATAATAACTGGACTCTTTCAGGACAGACCTTGTATACTTATTGTGGTGATTTTTTTACAACACATTCAAATATCAATTCATTATGTTGTGCACTCGAAACTAATATGTTATATGTCAACTATATATCAGTTTAAACAAAAGATGTTCCCTTCCCTTGCTCAGTTGTTGGATAATATGCCATCAACCAGGAGAAAATGGAATGTGTAGCCACCAGCCTAGATACTGGGATCTGGAATTGCTCTACCATGAGAAATTCCTCAACTTTAGAGCTGAGGTGGAATGGGCTGAAGAGAAATTTGAATCAATCTTAACAAGATTTGAATTTGAGGCTTTGTGACGAACCGAAGGAAAATCTATCTTTTAGTTATCTCACTGTATGGTGCTTCATGAAGGGAAAATAGTTTTAGAGAGAAAGGCCATTGTGAAAAACAGCAAGCACTGTACTAAGCTTCAGGGAGTCATCTGCACTCCCAGGAACGTTTGAAGTAATTCATATTTTCTTTGCAACAATCTCTTAGGGTAGAAGAATATATTCTTCATATCTCAGATGTCCAAACTTCACCTCAGTTTCTGAGCTGTCTATTCTGGTTTTGTAATGAATGAAGAAGAGATGCAGGCAAAGGAAACAATGTTATTTACTGGTTGGTCTGTGTGGCCTGAGGACAGTCATTGTTAACTCCTTCTCCCTCTTTCACTACATCTAAGCCAATATGGTTCTGCTAATTTAGGCTACAAATATTTCCTGAATTTATTCACTTCTTTCAAATTGTAGTTCTTTCTAACCTTATCACCTCTTGCCTACACTACTACAATTGTATCCTAACTGGTCTCCATCTTTTCACTCTTGGACCCTTCAAATTTACTTCCCACGTTTTTGCTAAAATAATCCATATAAAATGAAAAGTTGTACACATTACTCTTCGGGTTAAAATCCTTTCATAGATCCTCAAACCTACAGGAGAGATCCCAAGCTATAATATATGCTTGCTTTGTCAATCTTGTCTTTTAAACTTATGGTCCAGCAAAAGTGAGGTAGCTGTAATTCCCTACATCAGGCATACTCTTTTGTACTTCCTTATCTTCTCTGCCTCAATTGTTCTTTTTCTCTTTTTGTTTTATTTTCTGCAGAGTCCTCTACCTCACCCTCTACCCCAACACACACTCTTACCTTACCCACCTTTTAGCACAAAGACTCATCTTGGCTAGGCTAACTTTATTTAATAAAAACATGTTGCATTAATACATGCATAATCCTTTAAGACTCAGGCCAGCAGCCACCACCTCCAGGAATCTTTAGCTGGCCCCACAGTTGCCCCCAGGAATACTGTGTGAGCACTGTGCCACTATTTAAGTAGTTGTCTGTTTATGTCATTCTTCCCCATCAGACTGTGAACTGCTCTAGGACAGAAACTGAACTCTGTTTATCTTTGGGAAGTCAATTTTTTTCTCCTACATGCATCTTGGGAAGGTGTCACATCCTGAGCTACACAAGACATAGTAAGCACACTACTGAAGTATAGATAGATGCTATGGAGTATAGCAACATTGTTTTTCTTCTCATACTCTCTTCAATTCCTCCTCCTCACTGTGGGTGCTAGGAGGAGAAGGAAGCCAAACTGGGAAACCATCCAGAGTTTCTTTCCAGCCTTACTCAATTTCCCTGCCCAAGATCCGCCAACCCCCTACCCCCACCCTTTTAAAAAATCTCTGCAGAGAAGTCCTAGTCTCATCTTTTTTCTTATCAGCTTTCAAAGTTAGATCAGCAAGAATTTGAATGTCCATTACAAGAGAATCCAAATAATTAGTATAAAAATACAATTCCTGCAGAAGTCAGTAAGCAGAAATACAAATACCTAACCTGAACTCCCTGAAAAGGAGGGGGGATGCTGGCACTTCTTTCTGGGGTTGGTTTTCCCACTCAGAACCTGCCCAATGATTTCTTCTAAGTACACAAAGAAAAAGGCCAAACCAAACCAAACAAAAAACAAGTTGCATTCTCCTATCAAGATAGCTTGAACTTTTTGGTTCTTTACATGTTTACTTTTTAGTGTTTTTAGGCTATATTTGTTGAATGAATAATAAATGAAGTTAAAGTTATTGTGGAGACACCAGTTTTGAGTAGGATTCAGTGAGATGGTAGTTAGGCTTTGCTGCTGATAAGAATGATACAGTCAGATTACCATCTTTCACGAATTGGTTATTTATTAAGATCCTATTGTTTTCACAATATACAAAGAAGCATAACATGTGGTCCTTGCTCTCAAGAGTCTTGAAAACTAGAGGTCTAGAGGAAATACACACAAATCAAAAGCTGAGTGAATTGAAGCATATAAAACAAGAGGTGTTCAAAATGTAGAACTTGCTGCATTTTGAAAGTACAAAAGAAACATAAAAGATTGTAGGCTGATGGCTGTTGGGTCCATTCATTTACACTGAGATAGTATTATCCTTAACTGAAAAACTAGCAGACACATAAGCTGGAATTAAATAATTCTGTGGCACTGTCATGAGTGAGCACTTAGAATTAAATCCATCTCATTGTCATTATATCAATGGCCATTATCTTAGCACAGCTTGTCCAAATACAGTTAATTTACAGAAAAAATTTCTTTGAAGGTAATTAACTCTTGCAAGTTTTCAGCTCAATTTTATAGACATACTTTCAACTAAGCAAGATTCTCAGATAGTTGTAGTTTAACTGATCTTTGTAATATATAAAGTGGAAAACAACATTCTAGCATTTTCAAAATGGTGTTTTAAAATATACAGTTGACCCGAGAATGACATGGGTTTGAACTGTGTGGATCCACTTATACACTGAGTTCTTAAATAAATACTGTAAATTATTTCCTCTTTTTTGTGATTTTCTTAATAGTATTTTCTTTTCTCTAGCTTCATTTATTATAAGAATATAATGTGTAATATATAATATAAAAATATATTAATCCACTATTTATGTTATCTGTAAGGATTCCAGTCAATGGCAGGCTATTAGCAAAGTTTTGGGGCAGTCAAAAATTATACATGGGGTTTTGATTGCACTGGGGTGGATACTCCTCACCCCCAAGTTGTTCAAGGGACAACTGTATTTTCAACTCAATCAGTACTGATTCTAGTGGAAATCAATGTGCACAATATTTAATACACAATAAGTAGTGAATCATATAAAACTTACAGGTTGAAATTATAAGACCAATATGTCACACAGACCAATAATCATCCAATAAACAAAAGACATGAAAAGAAATGTTGAACCTGACCAAATGGCAAGTAAGTGGTGATACATACAGTAATTGTCTTGAGACCTGAGAAGGGTGAGTCACTAGGTCATGGAGTTAGTGAACAAAGTATGGGGAGAGGAATGCTCACAATGTATTCCTGGGGTGCTGACTTAAAAGATCCAGCCTACTGGGAAGGTTTTGGTTTGAAGAAATGAGGTTGGAAAAGCCTGTGGAGGCTTATGAATTGAGGATAAAAATGAGCTTTTATCTGCTAAGTCACTGGTTCCTAAACTGGACTGCGAATTTGAATCTCCTGAGAAACTTTAAAACTAGTGATGCCTGACTCCTATACCCAGAAATTCTGATTTAATTGAGGGAATTGAGGGTTTGTAGAAGTTTCCCAGGTGATTCCAAAATGTTGTCAGCTTGGGAAATCTCTTAGGCTATAGTGATTCTCAACCCTGACTGAATATCAGCATCAAGTTGGAGAATTTTTGAGACAATACCAAACATGACGCACAAAATGGGTGAAAATACTTGCAAATCAAATATCTGATAAGGAACTTGATTCAAAATATGTAAAAACCTTTGATAATTCAGCAATAAAAAGGCAACCCAGTTAAATTGGCAAATATCTGAATAGACATGCTCTGTTGTTTCATTCAAAGGAGAATGAAAATATTATCAAGCAGTAAACTTTTAAACTCTTGGTATAATTATCTCCAAAAGAGCTCCTGCATCTTCATCTGCCAAGAAAAAGACTTTACTGGAGATCTGTTTTTTTAATTACTATATTTTGATTTCAGAAAAAAAAAGTCTTTATACTCTTGTTCTAAGCAATGGTTTTTCCTTCTCCAGAAAACAAGATTTTGGTGAAGCAGTCGCCCATGCTTGTGGTGAACAACAACGCCGTCAACCTCAGCTGCAAATACACCTACAACCTCTTTTCGAAGGAGTTCCGGGCATCCCTTTATAAGGGAGCCGATAGTGCTGTGGAAGTTTGTGTTGTGAGTGGAAATTACTCCCATCAGCTTCAGTTTCAGTTTCAGTCAAAAACGGGATTCAACTGCGATGGGAAATTGGGCAATGAAACAGTGACATTCTACCTCTGGAATTTGTTTGTTAACCAAACAGATATTTACTTCTGCAAAATAGAAGTCATGTATCCACCTCCTTACATAGACAATGAGAAGAGCAACGGGACCATTATCCATGTGAAAGGTAACAAGCAACTCCAGTGTACCACTCTAAAGTAATGGTTTTCATCTGTAGCCTTGAAAACTCCATCACAATGAGAGGTGGGATTGGATAAATCCCAAAGAGCACAGATCAAAGAGGAATTCTATGCATTCTAAGCTAGTGATATTTTGCATATTTTGGTTCCTTTCACATTCTTCCATAAAGTTTAGAAGGAAGGAAATCTACTCAAGTGCCATTCCCATATCATTTAATCCACTCTATTTTGTTTTTCAGAGAATCGGCTTTGTCCAGCTCACCAAACTCCTGAGTCTTCTAAGCCATTTTGGGCACTGGTGGTGGTTGATGGAATCTTGGCTTTGTATAGCTTGCTAGTAACAGTGGCTCTTTTTACTTGCTGGGTAAGACAAGCAGCACTGCTTCTATGCAACTTTTCTACTGCACATGCAATCTGATTATATTTAAGAACTTTGCCTATGTTGTTTATTTTCTGTTTAACATGTGATTTTTATTATTTTCTTTTTCTCTGCTAGGTTTAAGTAGGTTGTCTCTTAGCCTATCCAACCTAATCTGAGATAAAAACGTTATGGGCATTCCATTTTCCAGAAGGCACTGGTTAGGTGGCAAGACAGAATAAGAAGACAATTGGTTAAATTAGGGTGGGGGTAATAGGGGCAGTTACTTTTTTATCCCCATTTGCAATATCATTATGACATATAAAATAGTTTTAGTATATACATATGTACATAAAAATCTAAGCAGCTTTGGAATCTAGACAACTGAAATCAATGAACAACTTTGGTTCAGGGTCAAAAATCATGAGAAATTTGGCTACTGAAATTATGCATTCAAACCTAGCAAAAAAACTAGGTCTGTTTATCTGAGTCATATTTTTATCTCCTTAGAAGCAGTTGAAGTCTGTGAGACCAAGTATGGTGCTGTCATTATGAAACCGTAATGAGAATTAGACTTTTCTGAGCTCTCATCACTGAATTGGGGTTTACCGACTTTTGCAAATGTTCATGCAATAAACTTGGTGTGTATATATATACACCATATATACTTGGTATATATATATATATACTTGGTGTGTGTGTATATATATACACATACACAAGCACATATATATAGACATATATATATATATATATATATATAAACTTCTTCAATGTTGAATTTTTTGCTGAGGTTTGAGGACCTCTTGATGACCATATCTACTGTTAAGAAGGCACCTCTTTATAAGGATCTTCCTGTTCTTAATAAGCTTTAGGGTATAGAATACCTCATGTGTTGATTCCATTTTGTCTTTGAATTTTTTTCTAAAACTTAGATGCATGTCTCAGTTATTCCTTCAACAAGAAATGTACCCTCCTAATGGATAAAGAACTATTTATACTCACCATCTATCTAGTATTAAGTACATTTAATGCTTGATGAATGCTTAAATTGACACCTTCCATAGAGGTCAAAAACTAAAGACTTAAATGAACATGCCTGAAGTATAATATCCATCTTCAAGGCATAATCCATACATTTAACTAGGCCATACATGGGTCAGATGTTTCTGGAAGCCATGTCATGTGGAGCCACCCTATTTACTACAGGTTCGGTGATGGGAGGGGTTCAGCAGCCATGGGTTTACAGTCATACCAATGGTAGATACAACCTGGGGTGCCCTTCATCTCTTGTTGGCCTGTTGCCAGAGTTTGCCTCTCAGTTGTTCCCCACGTACTTCTCCCATTTCAGAAGACCATTGGGGTATTCAGGACATTGGTTATGCTGCCTGTTGCCTAATCTCTGGCTTCTGCAGGGTAGGGAACGAAGTAGCTTCTTGTTCCTGGAAATCCTTTATACTAGATATCAACTTGAGAATTTGCCTGCCTTGCCTTCTTCAAGTTGCCCAAGCCTGATGGGGGCTTTTAATGTAGGGAAATATTGTCCAGCTTTTTCCTCTAATGTTAGCTGAGTGCCTTTATCTTTGTGGATCTTGTGGTCTTCATCCAAAGCTCCTTCCAGCTTTGAACAACTGTGGTGTTTGCTAATGATTTTAGAATTTGGGCTCTTAATTCTTGTTTTTTCCTGATCCCACCAGGAATCTCAACTTCTTTTTTTTTATACTTATATATTTTTAAAGATTTTATTTATTTATTTTTAGAGAGGGAAGGGACGGGGAAAGAGAGAGAGAGAGAGAGAAATATCAATGTGCAATTGCTGGGGGCTGTGGCCTGCAACCCAAGCATGTGCCCTGACTGGGAATTGAACCTGCAATGCTTTGTTTCGCAGCCCGAGCTCATTCCACTGAGCTACACCAGCCAGGGCGGAATCTCAACTTCTTAATTTAAAAGCCAGGTGCAGTGGCTTTTGGGTTCTCTTCCAGGACAGGTGCTCCTTTGTGATATGCTGAGCTAGATCAGTTGACCTAGGAAGTAGTTTTGGGAGCTGCTTTAACCTTCAGTGGCCAGAGGGTACTAATTATCATTTAAAACTTGTTGTAAATATGAATTAAAATGTCAGTTACTATAATCAGGCACTAACTTGCTAAGTGACTCAAATCAACCAAAAAGACAAAAGTAGCTTCTCATTTTCAAGGAGTTTTAACAGTTCACTTTCAACTCAGAAACAATATAGACATATGGGTTTTTCTTTGGCAGCATTACTAATTCCCAGTGGGGATCATCTTGCTTTGTCTTGAGAAAGCTTATTTTGGTCTTATTTTGTCTCACAGGATCCCTATAAACTGGGAAGTTCCAATGCTCAGTATATCTAATATTTGTGGCCTCTTGTAGTCAGTTTGGTTGCCTGCTAACTACCCTTTATTTGCATCTCAGACCTAGCTAGGTCTTTGTATTCTTTAACCAAAAGGGTGGGAAATAAATAAATAAATAAATTTCATAGAATAATACACTTTTTTCCCCCCCGGGCTCATCTTTTCTTACTGCTGTTACTGTTTAAGCAACTAGCTCCTGGCTAAACTCAGCCAGGCCATTAAGGATCCCTAAAGTTTAGCCTTTTCCTGGGTACTTTTTTAGGATCCTATTTTTGGCTTGTCTGCACTGTGCCTTGGTGCAAGTTGCTGTTTTCCGGAACTTCCTGAGGGCTTGTGACGTGCTACCGTAGGCACTAGTGGGTTTCTGGGAGCAGCTGCAGATTCTATCTCAGTTCTTGACCTATTGCTGACATTTGAATAAATAAAGAGCTCCCCTAGGCCAGGCTGCCACAGACCAGCACCTGCTACTCTCACTCAATCCTCCATTCACTGAATTACCTTGTATAAACCTTGGGGCTTGCTGCTGCTCCCAGGAAACAAGTAGATAAAGGCTGCGGTGAAGGGAAGGGCAAGGATGGCGGGTCCTAAAATCATACAGTTTTAGCAGACACTGAATGGTCAAGGGGCAGAGTAGATGACCCAGTTACACAGACACATGGAGTAAGTAGTCTGCAAACACATGTACATATGCTAAGTGCACATGGACACTGTGGGCTCTGGGTAGTCTTCACAGTCATGCGTGTGTCATTTCCATTCTACTGTTGTGTTTAGAGTTTGGGTGGTGATGATTAAATCCACCATTCAATAACACTGTGAGGGTAAGCATGGGAGTTGGTTGCAGTAGATCTTTCATAGCCTTTGTGTGCAACCTGGAGAACCCAGAACCAAGACATCTTCATTTGGGGGCACTCTCTAACAGGTATAGTTTTATTTGGGTATCTGGAGACAAAGACTATTACATGGGAACCTGGCAAGAGGAGTCCTCAAGGTAAGAATAAATACTAAAATGATCACCAGGGTATCATCAGCAGCCTTCCACATTGAGTTGGGGACAGACATTTCCACATCCTTTTCCCTGTCCAAGGGAAAATGGACATAGAATCAAGATATTTGAAGAGCAACTTCCTTCATGCATTTGGTTTCCATGACTACCTCTCTCTGAATGAATCCCCCCAATTATGTGTGTTTAATGCTATTTTCTTCTTAGTTCCAGCTAGATAACCCATCCATTACCTCAAGTCACAGGTGACTAAAGTAGAATTTATAACTTCTTTCAAACACAATTCTCCTGTGTCTTGCCTTATGTCTATGGGTGAAACACTGTCCTTCTAGTCACCTAGGCTCAAATAATGAATCACCTTAGGGTATGACCAAGAAGGAGGAGTCAGGTAGTCTAACAATACTCATGCTGATTTGATGATACATTTTGTATCCATTGCTTCCTTTCATTCTATGGTTTTCTCATGGCCAGACTCTAGATTAGGATTTCTCAGTCTTGGCACTATTGACATACTAGGCTGGATGATTCTTTGTTGATGGGGCCTGCCTTGTGCAACGTAGGATATTTAGCAACATCTCTGGCCTCTATCCACTAGATGCCAGTAGCATTCGTCCCAGGTATGACAACCCAAAATGTCACTAGATATTGTCAAATGTCCCCTAGGACAAGGAATAATGAGCTGGAGGTGGCAAGAATGAGGTTTAGGAGGTCTGGCTGGGGCAACTTCACATATGTAGTGTCACTCACAGAGATGAGAAACACTGAGAGAGGACCAGATTTTAGGGCAAGATCTTGAGTTTTGTTCTGGATATGTTGAGTTTAAAATGACGTTGAAGCCTAGTCCAGAGCTATAAATTTGGGTAAATAGGTGATAATTGAAGCTGTGAATGTTGATGAGCTTGCCTAGGGAGAGTGAGGATGGAGTGAGTAGAGGGAAAGGGCTACGACAAAACAATGGGACAGTCTAATACTGAATGGCTAGTTTAGAGAAGGATGAGCTTTCAAAGGACACAGGAAAGAGTGATCAGAGAGGCAGGATGAAAATCTGGATGATGCCATCTCATAGAAGGCAAAGTGGAAGGGTGTTTCAAAAGGGAGAGAATAATCAATAATAAAGAATGCTGCTGAGAGTTCAAAAAGATGAGGACTGAAGACATGTTAGTCATTTTTAGTAACGTGAAGGCCAGTGTTTTTCCAAACTTTCTTAACTCTTATGCCTCTTTGACAAGGAAGAGTGAAGTGCTGAGATAGAAGTGCATGGAAATAAGACCAGGCTGAAGTCATTTGCTTGCTAATTTATGCAAGAGTTCATATCATTCGTGTGCTGTGTATCTACTTATGCATCAGGCCTATGTTCCAGGAAATAAGCTTTTTTTTTCCCATAATAAAGAAGTCTAAATCCAAAAATCTGGATGGCTTTCTATTTAAAAAATTTTTATGAGTCTTTTATCAAATGCATACATTTTACCATCACACTGATCTGGAGAAGAAGTTCCTTAATCAAAACTTTGCTTAGTTTCAAGGAGGTGTAATTCTTGCTGCAGGTTAAGCATTGTCCTACTTTCCTCACCCCTGGCAGAAATTCATCCAGAGGGAGCTGAACCTGAGGAATAAAGATGAGGAACTCTATTGTCTTTATGGAAATGTAAATACATATGAAGGAATAGGAATGTAACTAGTTGCCTAGAACTATCTTCCCATTAATTTGGAATGCACTGCTCTGAATTTATGATTACTCCAGACTCTGAGGGGCTGAAGGTCCTCTTTGGTTATAGAAAAACAGCTTGTTAAACAAATGGCTAATGTAAGAAGATTACAGTGGGGATGCTTAACCTTTGCAGATGAGGAAGGGCCTTCAAGAGTATTTACTTATCAACAGCAGATATGTTAATTAGATATACTTTTGAAATTCAGGTTAAATGACTGTGTGGAGAGTATCAAGGGTACATTTTTCCAAAATACTTTCTTTGATTCAGATTTTTCAAGTTGATTTAGATGAGTCCAAAGCAGTTAGGTTTGATAAGTCATGATCCAAGTCCAAGGCGCTTCATGAATTCTGGTGTTCAGCTTCCTTTGACAGTCCACAGTTGGAAAAGTTGCCCCCAAAGTCTTATAACTCCTGCCATGACATCTCCCTACATGTCCTTGGCCCCTTCACAGTGACATTTCTCTTTTCTGCAGATGAAGAATAAGAGGAACAGGATCCTTCAGAGTGACTACATGAACATGACCCCACGGAGGCCGGGGCCCACCCGCAGACACTACCACCCCTATGCCCCAGCACGAGACTTTGCAGCCTACCGCTCCTGACACGGACGCCTATCCAGATGCCAGCCGGCTGACACCTCTTCACCTGCTCAACACCATTGCTCTGGATAGGAAAGGACTGCCTCGTCTTCAGCCGGCCATCTCAGGCCCCTGTTAGGCCACTAACACCAATTTTTCTTGACCAACTAGACCAAAGAACATTATTTTGAGACTCTGAAATGAAGTTAAAGAATATTACTATGGCAGCCTAAATCTTGTAGTGTCATGACCACAATTCAAACTTACTGTGTATTTATTGACTTGACTGAGAGATTAGAGTAGAAAATAAAAAGTGAGTGATTTCTGTTAGCCTTAAAATCTGCTTACAGTTTTGCTCCTTTCTGAGCCCCTGCACATGGCCATCAAGTGAGATGTGATAATGAAGGACTTTTTAGATGGAGAAGAAAGGTTAGAAAATCATTCCCTGTGGTTAAGTAGGGGTTGAGGGGGGTCATTTAGAGTGGGGGCTGAAGGGTAGAGAGACTTAAACATTTTTAAAGTCATGAAAACACTTTCTCAATTATGAAATGAGCCACTCAGTTCCTATTTAATATTTTCCTTTTAGTTTAGAAAGATATAGATATTATCTTTGATGAATTCTGGTCATATTTAGTCATTTTGACCAATGGAATACCTTCAAGGCAATGTAAAAGCAAACGGACTTGCCTTCCTTACTCCCTGTGATGGAAATTCAATGTAGTCTTCACAATATGATTAAAAAAATAAAGTAGTCTTTCCACATCGAGGAAGAATATGCTTGGAAATACGACCGCTTGATGTCAAAACTACTTAAATACTTTGAAGGGTAATTTGTTTAGCAGCACATTCCAGTCAACTCCTGTAGGGGGCTTTTCTGCTCCATATATTTCAGGTTTGCACAGCTGGTCTCTTTATTGTCTGGGTGGAGCTCTGAAGTGGAATGCTGAGTGCACATCCATAGGAGAACTGATGATACTGTGAAAAAGGGATCTTAGTGTTCATTACGGTGTGGGGGATGAGTCCCAAGAAACTTCTGAAGGAGAAAGAATAGAAGGAATGACTCGATTCTTGTCACGTGCTGAGGGGCTGGCTGCTCGAAGTTTTCCAGAAGATGGCAGGCAGAAGGAGCCCTGGTGAAAGCTTCTGTAGAGGGACTTTATGTACTTTAGGGCTCAGAGCTCCAGAACTTTTTGGCTGCAGGTGCCATTTTGCCCTGGAGGTCCATCGATGTGGAAAGTATTTTGGAATGAGTCTTTTGAGACAGCATCAAAGTTCTCAAGATACCCTGGAAGGCCTGACCCTGGAATGACCACAGACATTTTTCTACCTCCAGTTTGGGTCAACTGGAGTATGCCTGGAGACCTTGAAGAATGGATCTGCTGCAGCCTTTACAATGGTTCAGTGCTTGAATTCATTCAGATGTGAGAGGAGTCTAGGTTTGAGAGGCAAATAGGCCCAGTTCATGTCCCTTTGCCAGCTGGTCTCAGGCAAGTCACTGTCTTTCCAAGACTCTGGTTCTCTTCAACTACAAAATAAAGATAATGATCACAAATGTCTGTCCCCATACTGTAATCTTCTTGAGGACATGGCCTTAGTTCATCTTTTTTTTTTCTACTTGTCCCTGGCACTTAGTACCATGCCTGACATGTAATGTTAGGTATTATTATTATTGCCATTTAGATAAATTATGCATGACAATTAAACTGGGCAATGACCTGAGAAGGGAGAGCATATTGTAACACAAATTTAAACCCACCACCCAGGGATGAGGTGCAATGAAATTTGAGAGCCTCTTAACTGCCACCATTTTCCTGTTTCAGGTTATTTTAGCTTATACTGAAATGTGCAGCATCTCACCTCCCACTTTTATGTATATAAAGAGGTCTTCTTTAATTTTTTTTTGCACTGTGGGGAGGGCTATGAATATTATCACTCTAGACAGAAAATATTGTACTTTGGTTGATTTTTAAGTGGTCTTCTATTCCAGGAATTTAATTGGTCCAAAGATGGCCGAACCTGGCAGTGTCTGAGCTACAAAGAACAGGTGGATTTAAGGTGGCACATTTGCCACTTGGCCAGGTTCTTGGCATGCAGACTTCTTTAATCCAAGTTATCAGATTGGATTTGAAAGTTATAGAACTATCGAGTTTGTAGAAGGGGCAATGGCAAAAAGTAAATAAATATAAAATAAAAATGGAAAGATTTGATCTTTGGTAATAACTGGTTTTATTTTCTGATGGGAAAAACAGGTTTACTAAAGATGAATCACACATTAGATTTTTCTTACTCACTTTGAACAGAACCAAAGTAGAAATGTTAATAGGGAAGTCCTTTTTCACTATTAGTATGAGCTAAGAAATGGTTTAAAACTGTGGTTGGAGCCATGCTTTTACAGTTTCAGGTATGATAATTATGAAGAAAACAATTGCTGCTTTTATTCTAAGAGTTTTATATTTAGTGTTTCTATAAGTTTTTATTGTGAGCTTGCTTATTTTGGGCTGAGCATGCCAATTTACAGAGATGAAGTGCACATTATGTTCTGTATTTAGTGATAAAATCACTGAACTACCATGTGCCTATTTTTAAATTTGTGCTTTAATATGGTTTTTCAGAGCAGATAAGCTTCACTTTTAACAACCTAACTTGAGAAAATGCTATGTTTTTTTTAAAAAATGGATAAATACTTCTCATAAATGTCCAATTTTAACCTTTTTAAAAAATCCAGACTTTCAAATATTTTCACTTCAAGCAAGGTACACTTCTAGACTGGCTTTAGTCAAAACTTCTCATCAGAACAATGGTTTACATCCCCGAGATGTCAAGTGGGGCTTCCCTGCGCCTTCTGTGTGATGTGAATCCCTCTCTCATCGGCATGTGCCTTCTTTCTGACAGATTCCTCCTCCACATCACAGGCATGTTCCTGTTTCAGGGCTTTTACATATATATTTTTTTCTAGAATATTCTTCTCCAGATATCTCCTGGCTTGTTCCCTCATTTCCTTCAGGTCCCAGCTCAAGCAATCGCTTTCTATCCTAGTTAAATTCCCCCAAACTCTATCTGCTTTCTTTGCTTCCCCCCATAGCATTTCACCACCTCTTACACTAGACTTTTTACTTACTTATTTACTGTTTGTTTCCTCAAACCAGAATGTAAGTTCCATGAGGGACAGAGCTTTGCTTTGTTTATTGGCATGTCCCCGGTGCCTAGAATAGTTCCTGGCATGCAGTAAATATTTATTGACTGAGTGAATCTCACATGCCCTAATGAATTAACAGTGAGTTTAAATGTACTAATCACATTCTGAGAAGGAGAGAGCCAGTTCTGTTTTCTAACTTTCCCATTAAAAAGTTCAAAACTTCATTTTTTAGTGAAACAGGGGGCAAAAAGGTATACAGTTAAACCTGTTAAAAGAAAACTTGATGGATATAAACTAATTTATATTTTAGAAATGTTTGTGCAGTGAGGAAAATCAATACTGTTAGAAAAAATCATCTTAAAAAGTCACGCTAAATAAGCCACAGTCAAGAGTTAAGTCAATTTCCAAATGAAGCCCCCAAATCCTCTCTTAATGGAGTATTGACAATATTTTAAACATGCTGTTAGTCTAAGACTTCTGAAAATGTTGCCTTTGTAGTTAAAATCCCATTCTACTACCAAGCTGCTGCTTTTTTCTGTGGAGTGATTTTGTCTCAGCAAATTCTATGAGGTGCTATGAAATGCCTTGTCTGGCTGTGATTCAAATAGAGCTCAAAGATGGGAAAGCTGGGGACAGACAATTTCAGCTTCTTCACCTGTCATGCTCATCTCATAACTGAATACTCTAATGGCTTGCAATGATTTAAAAATAAAAGAAAAACAACAAACAAAATTGTGGTACTTGGAACAAGTTGAAAAATTCAAATCAGACATATTAATCATCACACACACACACACACACACACACACACACACACAGCTATCATCTTGTGGGTTGGGGAAGGCCCCTGAACCAGAGACACAAGGGCTGGTCTGATAACTCATGTAGCATCTTCTCTTTACTTCACTGAAAATTGTGCTTTCAGGATGGCCTGAAGTCAAATGCATGTGCAATGAGTTCATCTCCACACTTATTCTCTTTTTGTTGTTGAAATGGAGCTCATTAAACTTAATAAAGGTAATTAAGGCTTGAAAAAGATGAACCTATATGTTTCCTACTCCAAGAAAGACTGAATTCAGCTAATCACTTATGAGCTCAATAGGACAGACCTAATCAATTGAAAAGGGAAAACCTTGGTAAAAATCAGCCATTAAATGAATCTGCTCAATAAGCACTCTTTGATTGGGCTAATAAAAATGATGCAAACTACTGTAAAAAGGTTCTAGTTCCTTGAAAGTCAAGTTCAACATGAAATAAAATGCAAACTTCATGACTTTACCTAACAGACCTGCTACTATGTTCTAGCTACGTAACTATGTAAATATGTAATTGCTTGCATTAACTTTTTTGCCCTGCAGGGCAAAAGTTAATTGCCCTGAATTAACTTTTTTCTTTCTCCAGCCTGATAAAACAGATTGCTCGCTTTTAAAGCAGTGCCCTTTCTCCTCTCTCATCTTGTGTGAAAAAGAGATAATAGATGATTGAGAAAAATCAAAGACACTTCTGGATTCATCATAATGGTGGCCTGACCACTACACTAAGCAGCAGCAAATGGGATGGTTTTGGAACCATACCAGACTTTGGTAACTTATCTGTGTCTCCAAAACTGAGAGGCACTGCATAACTATTGACTTTTCAACTGTGCTCAGAAGTTTGGTTCTTCAGGAATGAATCTGAGCGGGTGGACCTCTCCACTTTCTCTGATTTGGTATCCCAAAGGAATTGGTGTTTTCCCTTCAAAGATTCATGGGCTCTGAGCGCTCACCACTGTCCAGAGCAGAATGTGGGACAATTTCTCAGTGTGTCTTTCATTAATCTGAAGGTGTGGATATTGGACTCTTCACTTGAAAAATACTTGGGATAAAATATGAGTGACCCAAGAATATTTCACCTTTTCCAAGCTGACCTCATTATTGAGGCCACTCTAAGGCTAGGATGCGTGCTTCTCAAGACTTGTTCCTTATTCTAGTCACCTGTTTCAACTCTGTGAAAGATTTTGGGGTGCTGGGAGTTTGAGAGAACAAAAAGTCACAGAAAGGTGAATTTATCTTAGAGTAGGGGTGGATTGGATTTTACTTGTACTTCATCTAGCAGAGCTATCTCAATGACAGATTTAAACACTCTTCTGGCTCCAAAGAACAAGTTGTGAGAGCTGGGTGGAAATGTCAGTTGAGACAGAAGAGCAGCAAACAGCTTTGTTTTCCTATAGTTGTGGTTTTACATGGTGATGATGACACACGAAGATGAAAATGTGCAGCATGAACTCCAGTTGTTATCTGAGTGAGCATCTCTGCCAACACCGAAGGATATGTGTGGGTGTCACCTGCAAGCAAATGAGAGAGAGAAAGAAAAAGAGGCCCTGTTTCGGAAAGAAGAGCCAGTTAATCAAAGATCAACAGTGACAAGTGGTGCTCTTTGTTTCATGAGCTTTATATTTGATTTCCTTCCCCTTGCTAATCTCCAAGTCTGAATTTACTCTCTGAACTAAATATATAAGTGTTTGGTGGCTGAGAAAGAGGGTGGAAAAGATGGTCTTGAATGGACATTATGGCAGTTACCATAGTTATTTAGTCATTTCTTTATTCTCCTGGGTGCAGAGTTAGCATTTGCTATGTTAGCTTCCAAAGTGTGAATTTTTGCTAACTTTTGGGAACCTGTGGCATTTAAACAAGGGTAGATAAGTCTGAGGTAGTTACTGGGGACTCTTGTACACTCCCAACTCTGTGCAACTTTTGTTTCAGTTGTTTTATATTTCTTTCTCCTCCCTTCCTCCTCATTCATTTAATAACTATTTAAATGAGAAACTGCCCAGCTCTAAGAAATGGGCCAGGTACTGGAATTGTGGTGGTAAGCAACAAGAACATTATCATCTGCACACCTACCAAGTGTAGAGTATAGACTTTATATGTTCCCCCACCCCCTTTTACTTAACACCCTGCTTCTCAGGGTAACCACTTAGTCTTAATTATAGGCTCAGACCTTAATGTGGCTATTTGATAGCCTTTGTCTTGTTTTCCTGAATTTTATTTCTTTGAGATGTTCTTATTTAATATCTCGAACTCATTTAATGTCTTAGATTAGGAACTGACAAGTTTTTTTTTTCTTTTTTGGGTTTGTTTGTCTTTTAAAAAGGGCCAGATAGTAAACATTGTACGCTTTGTGACCATTCAGTCTCTTGCAGCTGCGCAACTCCGCCATTGCAGTGTAAAAGCAGCCAGAGGTATGTGAACAAATGAACATGTCTGTGTTCCAATGAGCCATGACTTGTGGGTGCAATTTTCACGTCATCCAACATTAATATCCTTTTGATTTTTTTCTGACCATTTGCAAATGCAAAATCCATTCTTAGCTCATGGGCTGTTCAAAAGCAGGTCGTGGGCTGGATTTGGCCTGCAAGTTGCAGAGTGCTGACTCCTAACTTAAGCCCAAAACCACGATTTTAGGTGTAAGCTTGTTTTTGAGTTCTAGCTGTCATCTACATTATTAAGGCTTGAAGGGATCAGTTTGGTTGTGTAGAGAGGCTTAGTGGGGGTGGTAAATGTTAAGTATCTGTTTGAAAGAAAGACATGGATTAATGAAGAAGAAAGAAGAAACTTCATCTGGGAGAAAGTTATTTTAAGCAGGAAAAAACAGGAAATTGTAAGAAAAGAGGAAAAGAAGCTGATTCAAGATAATAGTGTCCCCTGAACCTTGTTACTGAAAGCCTAAAGATCTGGGGAATTAAGGTTACTCGTCTCTTAAATCCTGTTGGCCCTTTTTTTTCTTTCGTAGGCATCAAATACTTTTAATCTCTAAGGAAACAAAATAAATTTCAAGTCACAGCAGGCAGAGGACAAAAAATGGCCTCTCTTTCCCTGCAAAGCCTTCCCCACATAGAACATTCAAACCCACCTTGAGACTGGTGCAGCAGAGATGGGGAACAGTATCTCAGAACTGGCCTCCCTGTTTCTGTCTATCACACTCCTTCAATCTGTACTTGGCTGCTACTTTATGGGTGACCAAGAGTGAACCCCTCTCACCCCAATTTAAACCAAGGTTCAGCATTTCACAGGTGACTGATGAAA